CATGGGTTATTAACACGGCACAAAAGACAAACAAAGATATGCGAAAGAAGAAAGGGGAAACAAGAGAGAAAGAGGATCTGCAAAACTGGAGATATGTTCTTTTATCATCTTTCTCAAAAAAAAAAAAAAAGAGACAGTGGTTGACTTTGATTGATAGTGGATTTACAGGCTTTGTTCCTCTAATTTTAGGAACACTGTGAAATGCTTTCAATGACTTCATCTCAATTACTTCCTTTTCTAGCATGGAATAAAAAAACCCTATGTTTTTTTTTTGAAAAAAAAAATCCTATGTTATTCATATTATTACTAATTTTTTAATTGATTTTGTTTTTACGAAATTTTCCATTTTTAAAACCTTTATTGCCAATAAGGTAGAGTAATGAATATGAAATGAATTTAAATCGTAAAAGTTTGATTTGGAACTCAACTACATTTTGTGGAGTGCGGGTGAGAGGGTCGGTTCGGATCGGATCGATCGGTTCGATTCAAACTCAACTACGTGTCGAATAAAAAAATTATGTAATTTAAAATTAAATATGATTTCATAAAAAACATGTTACTCTGTATAAATTATGTTTTCTTTTTATTCAATTAAATTTATATTTTCTAAGATCAGAGTTTTTAGTGATATCTTATTATTGCTATCTTGCTTCTTTAAAAAAATATACGAACTTAAAATTTTTATTCTATAAATGCAAAATAAAATATCGTAACTTTGACACTTTAATGCAAAATACTCCCTCCGTCCCAGAGTATTTGTCCACTTTCATTTTTACACACTATCCAATGCACTTCTTTAATCCATTTTATCTTGTAATTTGTATATCAAAAAATTATAGAAGCTATATATTAATAATCTATATGTTAAGACAAATCAAATAAGATCACCCATGACTATATTTAGGCTTACACATTGAGAGAATTTGATAAGTCAAAGTGCTTAGATGAATAGTTCCAAAAGTCAAAAGTGGACAAAAACTGGGGGACGGAGGGAGTATAATTGTTAGCACAAATATTAGTACTCTATAATTTTTAAATAAAAATCACCCCAATTCGAAAATTAGTACTCCCTCCGTCCTAAATTGACCTTCCCACGTTGACTATATGCCATTTTTAAGGGAGTGTAAAATATGCATTGACTTTACCAAAGTGCCCCTAAAGTCCCCCACTTCACCCAACAATGCACAGATCTAAAAACACTCGTACCCATGGATTCAGCCGAAGAGGTGCCGCCGAAATCAGCCGGTCCAGCGTCGATGTCGCCGGTCCGATCGGCAGATTCAGCCGGAGAGGTGCCGCCGCTGCCGCCGTGCGACTCGAACAGGTGTGGGAGTTTCCGGAAGAAGATGGGGCTGGTGGCGTTCAATTGCAAGTGCGGGTTCACCTTATGTGTGGCCCACCGCTACCCTGAGACGCACAATTGCAGTTTTGATTTCAAGGCCGCGGGTCGGGTCACCCTGAGACGCTACCCTGAGACACCGACGATTTCCTTAATGGTATGTTTGGAAACATGGATTTGGATTTCAAATCTGGATTTGACTCAAATTCCATGTTTGGGAAACTTAAAAAATTTGAATTTGGATTTGGGTCAAATTCTTCACATTTATAACAAAGCTTAATTTGAAATCCATGCACATCCCCATGTCATTTAAAATTCAAGATTTCAAATTTTGGAATTGAAATGAAATGCTGGTTGCCAAACACTACCTAAATGAATTTAGAGAGGCTGAGAGAGGCGGAGAAGGAGAGGCAGAGAGAGAGAGAGAGGGGAATAGATAGATCTAGGGTTTGAGAGGAGGCGAAGAGCGAAGAAGGAGAGAAGCAGCGAATAGGGAAGGGCCGTTGTGGCATAAAGGAGAGGGGGGTATATTTGTCTTTATACTGCCCTTTTTTGGGTTTGGGAAGGTATTTTTAGGACGGGAAAAAAAGGAAAGTGGGAAGATGGTTTTAGGACGTAGGGAGTAGTTCATTTCCCTAATACCCATCCTATCCCCCTAAATCACATGCACCCCCGGCCTAGCATTTCCTTCGCGATTGGCTACACTGATCACTATAGTCAATCAGCAAAGGGATGAGGAGTTAGGGAGCAGGGAGCTGAGATATGAAGTATAGGACTTTTCAATATTTTTTGTTTTTTATTGATTATTTATTAAAATAAAATATTGTAAACAATTTTTTCTATTTTTGACGTAACTTTTAAATATATAAAAATTAATAATTATTTTTAAATAAATTCATTTTAAAAATTATAATTTTTTTTTTGTAAATACTCCGTACAAAATTGTAATCTAAGAGAAAGGCAGGAATAGTAAAACCAAGAGTTTCCCATGTAATGAATGTAAAGAGGTGGGGAGAAGGCAAAGGGTGGAGAAAAAGGCGAAAAATGGGATGAAAGGCAGTTTTATCCTTGGGAAGTTGAAAAGGTGACTTTCCCGCACAGTGAAACTGTGAGAAAGAAAGAAAGAAAGGTTGGGAGGAGAAAGAGACAGAGATAATCTTTTGAATGATGATTACATTACACGTTTACACATGCAATCTGGCGGCATTCAGAAGTTGTTCCTCCTACAACGGTATCATCCCCTGTCCCATCTCTTTCAATTCACCTCTCCCACGCCGGCCATCTCATAAAGGATTATATTATGCTATGTGTACCCAAGGTTTGTACCCCAATTTGTACCCCGCAATTTTGTACCAACATTTTGTGTTGATGTAAAACTAATTTTTGTTAAACGCACCAACATTTGTGTCCGTGTGAATTTTTATTAACGCACCAACACTTGTGTCGGTGTAAATCATCGAAATGTTTGTGCAAACCTGTGGTGTACAAATGTGGTATATTTTTTGGTGTAATGTAGCATGGTCCTCTCATAAAACAAAGATGAGGCATCTAGTACTAAGGCTACGTTCCTTTTAATTTTTTCACTTACTCTCTCAGTCCCACATTTGACTACAAATTGAGGTTTATGAGGATAATTATCTCACTTTTTGAAGTTATTTTATTTATAAAATAGGTATACCGATAAGAAATAAAAATTACATATTAAAAAATTATGTTCAAAGTTCTACAAAACAAGAAGTGACAATAATATTTTATTTTATCAAATACTTAATGAAATTGCGTAAATAAACCAAAGTTATCGAGAGAAGAGAGAAAAAAATTGAAATCAAATTGGGGACGGAGATTGGAATAAGATCAGATCAGATCAGAAATAGCTTTATATATAACTACATTCAGATCAAATCATACTAGATCAGATCAGATTCGAACTTATTTCAATCAGATCAGAACCAATCAGATCAGGTTTAGAGAACATGGCCGAACTGTGTAACCCGCGTCCACATTTTAAAAGAAAAAAAGATATCGAGATTTTGAGTCCAAGTAATTAATTACAAGTAATTCGAAGTCAATTTTTCTAAATTTTGTCATATTTTAATCGTCGAAGTATGAATTACAATATTAATAACTTCACTATATAATAATATAAAAAAATGCTATAAAATATTTATATACAGTAACAAGTTGATACAAATTAATAATCTTGTTTTGAGGTAAAAAAATACTACCTCCGTCCGGGAATGATGTTCTCACTTTGAATTTTCCTCATTGTTAAGAGGCATTGACTAATGGCTTGAAAGAACTAAAATGCCCTTGCACTTTGAGGCTCCCCACAGCCCACCTCCCACTAGCACCCCACTGCCAGCCCACCTCCAGTGACACCCTAACGCCGTCAGCCCCACCTCCCACCGCCGCCGCCAGCCCACCACCACCCCACCTCCCACCACCGCCGTCAGTCCCATCATCTCTGCCAGCCCCCACCTCCATCTCCCACAGCCGCAAACAATGTCAGAAAGAGAGAAAAGGGAAAGAAAGAAAAAAGTGGAGGAAAAGATATATCAAAAGAAAGAATAAGGGGAAAGAAAAGGAGAAGTGCAGATCTAGACTCACCATCACAGCTACCGCCGCCGTCACCATCGCCGCCACCCCGCCACCGCCGCTATACACAGATCTAGAAGGGGATAAAGAAGAAGAAAGAAAACAGGGGAGAAAGAGAAGAGAATGAGGAAGAGGAGGAGAGAAGATAAGGAGGTAGAAGAGGAGGAAGGTGAAGGGTTGGGAAAGAAAGAAAGGAAAGAAAGGAAGAAAGGAAGGACAAAAAAAAGTGGCCGAAGAAGGAAAGAAAGGAAGAAAAAAAAGAAAGGAAGAAAAGAAGAAAGGAAGGAAGATGAGGGTAATTTTGGAAGAATAGAGAAAAAAGGTAGAATGGGAACATCATTCCCGGACGGAAAAAAACGTATAATGGGAACATCATTCCCGGACGGAGGGAGTATGAAATTTTTATTTTGAAACATTCTCTAAGTCTTACTCCTAACATGATAATTTTTTTCAATAAAAGCATCAATGTGATTAAATCACTGAAAAGAAATCTTGAATGGGCTTCTAATTATTCTTATTTAAAATAATGAAAATGGATTGAATATATTGTTGTGATGGTAATAAACCATCGAAGATCTTGATCGTAAGACACATAAGCTAGTTATGTAAAGTTTAGAGGGAGAGAGAGAATGCAAAGTAGGAGTATTATTCACTTGAATTCGGACCCTTTACAATGAGGGGCCTTGGCCTTTTTATAGATCCAACAATTCAACTAAGTCAAACCCTGTAACTGACACTTGTCTTCTAGTAGACGTCACCCGATCTCTATAGTCTGGTCATTTTCACCTTGTCACTATCGTACAGTCCCTATCATCCAGTTGTTATTCCCCCGTTGCTGTCATCTGGTTCTGCCGAGGAGGGAGAAGCCTGAGGACCGAGCCGAGGTCATGGACCGAGCTCCACCTACCTGAATGCGGGCCCTGCCCTGGACCTGATACTAGGATGATGTGGGGATATCCTCCGTCACGTTGAATACTTGAATAATGGAATAATGATTTTACTCAAAGAATAATGGTGTGTACAAGAGTGTATATATAGAAAGAGATCGTGACATAATTAGGATTCTACCAATGAATAATATACTAATACTACCATAAATACAAATTCTGGTAGTATTGTCTACCATCCCCCATTCAAGCTGAATACCGTGAAACGAGAGAAAGCTTGGAAACCATAGATATGTAGCGAGGAGATGGAAGCGCTTTTGTTAGGATGTCGGCTAACTGTTTTCGTGGATGATATCGTGCTTATCGATGACACACGTGAGGGACTAAATGATAAGTTGGAACGATGGCGCCATGCCCTTGAGACTAAAGGATTCAGAATAAGTAGGAACAAGACTGAATACATGGAATGTCGTTTCAGCAGCCGGGAAACAGAATCAGAAGTGGAAGTTAGGATTGACTCTCACATAGTACCTAAGGTAGACAGGTTCTGATATCTTGGCTCGGTAATCCAGGCAGATGGGGAGTTAGACGGGGATGTTGGACATCGTGTTGGAGTGGCTTAGGCCAAATGGCGGTTGGCCTCAGGAGTGTTGTGTGACCCGAAGATTTCACCCAGGATGAAAGGTAAGTTCTACCGATCTGTAGTCAGACCTGCTATGTTATGCGGGGCAGAGTGTTGGGCGGTTAAGAAGACTCATGTGCGTCGTCTGCATGTGGCGGAGATGCGGATGTTACGATGGATGTGTGGGAAGACAAGGTTGGATAGGATTTCGAACGAAGATATTCGATGTCAGGTAGGCATGGCGCCTGTGGAAGATAAGTTGCGGGAAGCGAGGTTGAGATGGTTTGGGCATGTGAGACGTCGGGATGCTGATGCCCCTGTACAGAGGTGCGAGAGGATCACGGTTATCGGGGGAAGGGGTAGACCTAGAAAGAATTGGAAGGAGGTGATTAGGCAGGATTTAGGACTTCTCACCCTGACTGAGGATATGGCTTTAGATAGGAACCTTTGGCGGATTAGGATTAAAGTAGCTGGTTAGGAGCGCGGTGCTGCAGAGATTTTTTGTAGTGTGTTGTGTTTGATTAGAATCTTCTACTTTTGCTTGCTGGACTTTCATTTCATTGTACTTGGTGCTTTATCCTGTTATATCCTGTTATATCGTGTTACCCTGTTATATTGTGTTCCCTACCATATTTTTGTGCAGGTTGAGCCGGGGGTCTCTTGGAAACAGCCTCCCTACTTCCGAGTAGGGGCAAGGTCTGCGTACACACACCCTTCCCAGACCCTACTGTAGTGGGATTCAATTGGGTTGTCGTTGTTGTTGTTGGTTCTAAATGAAAATGGAAATCCCTTACAAGCATACTAAAATATTTTATACCTTGAAGTCTTTCAGAAAATTTAGTATTAAAACAAAGTTTGTTGAGTACACATTTAATTTCTCGAATAGTATTTATTCTACTTTGGCTTCTTTGTCTATAGCATTAAAAATCATGTAAGAAATATATTTTCTTTATTCCAGAAAAAAAATTACATTAAAAATACCTGAATGACTCAAATTTCGTTCGACCCCGTGCGTGGAACGGGTAGACATACTAGAATGAGAATATTAAATAGTACTCTTTGAATCATTTCATTTAGAATCAAAGTCAATTAAACATATATATTCTTACCATAAGTAATGTATATTCTATATGAGAGAATAATTATATCACATTCTCAATATAATTATATACTATGGAAGTTGATTTAAATTATTTTAGTCACAGATATGAATTTTAGTTTTTACTCAACTACATAAAGGCCTTGTTTGGAACATGGCAGTTGACAGTTGGCTGTTGGCTGTTTATGTTAGCTGATTTGAATGGCTGATTAAGTTAGCTGTTTTGACCGGTTGTTTCTGTTAGCTGTTAAAAATTAGATGTTTGGCAACTTTAGTTGTTTATAGTTAGCTGTTTGTGAGTAAAATTACATATAAGGACATCGCCCCATTTATGTTAATTTGTGTATGTTTTTAAATTTTTTTAATTTGATAAAATACACACATTATACAAGATAATGCTTTACATATATATATTTTTTGTTGGACAAAAAAAGCTACTTCGTGTTTTTTAATTTAAAAAATGAGAATTTACAGTTATATTTTTTAAGTAGATTTTTTGTATTTTTCTCATTTATCATTCTACAAATAACAACCATGTATGATATATTTTATTTTATAATTTTTTAAATATGATATCATATATTTTTAATATACCCTACACCAATTTTAATTTTTTAAATATGATATCATATTTTTTTTGTTGGACACAAAAGGCTACTTCGTTTTTTTTAATTTAAGAAATGAGAATCTACTTTTATATTTTTATAAGTAGATGTTTTGTATTTTTCTCATTTATCATTCTACAAATAAAAATCACGCATGATATATTTTATTTTATAATTTTTTAAAAATGATATCATAAATATATAAAAATACTCTACACCAATTCCGGTGCTGTGAGGATCACAGAGAGACGCAACACCGAGAAAAGGGTAGGAAACGGAAAAGGGGGTGAACTGCTAAGTGAAATTCTGCTAGGGTTGGCATTTCAATTTTTTGCTTTTCGGTTGTAAATGCCAATTCCAAAAGCCATTATCCAAACAATTAATTTGGCGGTTTGACTAGTCCAATCCGCCATTTATGGTCAAAGATGTCAAATGCTATGTGAACCGCCATTTACCAAACATGGCCAAAATTTTATTAAGTGTCAACGTTCTTCCATAATACTCCTTTCGTATGGATTTAATCTTCTAATTTGATTTTATTGGTCAAATTTTGTAAATATTGACCTCGATATATGAAAAATATAATTTTTGTTTATCTATAAATGTAATATTAATAAATTTTTTAAAGCATTTTTTTGAAATAAGATTATTTGTAAGATATGAAAAGTATAAATATCGATACTAATGGTCAAAATATTATATTGAGATTAAACCTACTCATAAAATGGGGAATCCTAAGTTAGTATTTCTAAATATAGGTAATGATCAAATCCTTTCTTTTTCTCTGACATAAGACGACTAACCTAAATATACAATTAATAAAATTCATTCTGAGAAGTATATGCATAACTAATTATTCGTAAAAATGAACGGATCTAAGTCAATTTTTTATGCAAAAATATAATTCTATTTTCAAAAATTAGAAGTATTCTTTACCCATATATGTATATATTATATACTGATTGGCAGGTTTGAATAGTTCTAAAAATATTATTCATTAACAGTCTCAGTTTGCTTTGCTGTCGAATGTTTGAATAACTATATATATAATGAATTAAAATATTAAAAATTAGACTATAACATTTGAATAAAATTGTTTAATATAATATTTTAAATAGTTTTTACTAATATATTTTAAGATATTTTATTGGTAAAACATATTACGTGAAGACAAATCGAAGTGTAAAAAAATAATAGAGTTACTAATTCATGCAATGATTGAAATTACCAAGTCATTAAAATGATAAATATGTGGCGGACGACTTGTAAAAAATGCCGAATAGACCCGTCACATGTCAGAATTTTGTGAATCGAGTCTCAGATATAATAGTAAAAGATTCTTTTGAATATATTTATACGAAGTACTATTATTTTATCCCGTATTATCTTCATATTGTACTTATTTTTTTAACTTTGTACTCATCAAAACATAATTTAAAAATTTTGCAATTTATGCACGAAAAATGGTTTATATTTAAAATAAGTATTTTGTGTATAATTTATGACGTCATTTTTATTACTGTGTACGTTATCTAACTAAGAATCTAACTCCATCCATTTTTTATTCGTTTAGCAGAAGTCCATTCAGCGAGTGACAAGTATGTGAAATGACATGCTCTGATGCGGCAAGTCATTTTTTTATCAAGTTTTTACATCCCTCAAACTTCTGTATCTATTGTCCACGTACGGTGGCAGAGCAAGACAAAATCCCACTCACCGTTGCCACTGCCACTGCTCTTAGTAGGGGTAGGGGTGGACACGGAACCGGTACGGTACCGTGACCGGCAACGGTACCGCTGGTACCCGCCACCGTTACCGCCGTCGCCGCCGTGTCACCGGTTCCGGAAACCGGTTCCGGTACCTATTTTTTGGTACGGGTACCGCCGGTACCGGTCCGGTTCCGGTACCCGGTTCCTTTTTTTATTTTTTTTCTTTTGTTCATTGACTTCATTCCCAACGGCTCCAACCTGCAAAAAAACAGAAAAAAAAATTAGTGGGGCACCTCAAACGGCTATTTAGCCGTTGAGGTGGGGGAGGGGAAGAGGGGAGGGGGAGGGGGGGGGAAACTATAAATTCTCACAATTTTTTCCTAAAAAATCACTCAATTTCTCAATCCATCTCTCATTCTCTCATTCTCTCAATTTATCAATCTCTCAATCTTATTATCTCTTTTTAATCTTTATACATTTAATATTCATATAATAATATAAAATTTTTATACATTAAAATTTTGAAATTTTCGAAATTTTAATATATAAAATTTCGAATTTTTTTCAAAATTTTCGAAATTTAAAATATTATTAATTTTTAAATATATCTTTAAATAATTTAAATATATTTTCTATTTTTTAAAAAATTTCGAAATTTTAATATATAAAATTTCGAATTTTTTTTAAAGTTTCGAAATTTAATATATTATTTTTTTTATATCAAAAAATATATATATTAAAATGTCGAGAGAGTCCGGTAGAAGGTCCGTGGATATGGGCGCCGTGAACCGAAGTTCGAGGAGAGGGAAAGCTAAAGCCACCTCTGACGTTTCGACCTCACGCGTTTCTCGAGGAAGACACTCCGTCTCTTCCTTTCCTACTATCCCCGATCACTTAATTGGAGACGATATGACGGATGAAGAATTCGACCAGATTTATTCTGGTAGAGGGGACGCAAATCTCCCCACTCTTGATAGTGTATTCGAAGATCTTGATGAAGCAAATCTGGATAATCTGGACGGGGGCGAGGAGCCTACACCGCAGAGCAACGACGTCGACGTGGAGGCAGGTGAGCCCGCGACCTCTCGAGGTCCGGATAAAGGTAAAAAAAAATATAAATCAGAGTTATTTGTTTATCATTTTGACAAAGAAACAAAAGATGGCGTAGTTTATGGAACTTGTAAACATTGTGGGACCGTCATAAAAATGGGAGTCTCCGGCGGTTATGGCGATCCAGAAAAACACCTAAGGTCGAGGCATCCCGTGGAGTTTGCCAAATACGAGGCAAAAAAGAAGGGACGACAAGAAGTGCAAACCCAAATTTCTCGGTTTGCTAACAGAGGTAAGGGCGGCCTTTTTGCTTATAGCGACGAGCAAAATAAGCAAAAAATGGCCGAAATGATTTGTGAAGAAAATTTGCCATACATGTTTTCTGAAAAACTTGGATTTATTGATTATTGTCAACAGGCATTAAACCCTCAAGCACGAGGTTTTTCAAGAAAAACAATTAAACGAGAAATTATTCGTCAGTATAAAA